TCCAGCAGTATCAGCAGGTCATACGCCAACAATAGCAGCAGATCATACGCCAGCAGTATCAGCAGGTCATACGCCAGCAGTAGCAGCAGGTCATACGCCAGCGTAGCAGCAGGTCATACGCCAGCAGTGCAGCGGGATAGCCATTACCTCCAGCAGTAGCAACAGGTCATACGCCAGCAGTAGCAGCAGGTCATACTCCAGCAGTATCAGCAGGTCATACGCCAGCAATAGCAGCAGGTCATACGCCAGCAGTATCAGCAGGTCATACGCCAGCAGTAGCAGCAGGTCATACGCCAGCAGTAGCAGCAGGTCATACTCCAGCAGTAGCAACAGGTCATACGCCAGCAGGTCATACTCCAGCAGTAGCAACAGGTCATACGCCAGCAGTAGCAGCAGGTCATGCGCCAGCAGTAGCAGCATGTCATGCGCCAGCAGGCCATGCTCCAGCAGTAACAGTATCAGCAGCAGTAGCAGCCGGCCATGCTCCAGCAGCAACACGAGTGAACCTGCTTCCAGCGCTGGCTCCAACCAGACACTAAAGTGCGCATGCGTCCTCTCAGATCCATACCTGTGACGTCACGTGGGAGGCTGGAAGCTTGCTGCCAACTCACCATCTTCAACCATTTTTATTTAGCGATCCTGGAGGCCATTATTCCCGATATACCTCTCGATGAAGAGAACGGGCAGGCATGGAAGGAAGCGGGGCACTGGGTATGTATAAATAACCTCTTAGAGGGCCATGATCTCTGGGTATTGAGGAGAAGATCGGGCATCTGGCAAGGTGTGGAGTGACGTCACGCCCAATGGCCGGTACAGGTGGTCTGATAGATAGAGAAATACAATAAACATTGGAGCGTTAGCTTCATTTTCCTTGCAAACGTGGAAGTGAGTGGAGCGCAAGTGGTGGTTGCTGGCCACACCGTAAACAGTGCAAGTCTAACCTCTGACAGTGAATTGTATACCTGGAGAATTGTGTCTCTCTTGCGATAGACATTACTACGCTGGTTCTCAGATTTTTTTTTTTTTTTTGAATGATAAACACTGGCCAGGGTTAAGGTACGGAGACGAGGAGACCTTTTACAATTTTAATTGAATTTATACATGCATTAACCCAAGGGGGGAGGGTACTTTTAAAATAATAATAATAATAATAACAAGGGGCCGCCGGCCGCTGCTTGCTGGATAAAATGAACTCTCGGATTTGTGAAACAAAATGCCGGTTGTGTGAGGCACACTGACAGTGTCTGCCATGTTGTGCTCCCCAGTGCCAGCACCAGCAAGTGTAACACCCACTGGCACTGCCTCCCACGCCACAGGCACCCTCCACGCCCTCACACGCCTCAACAACACAGCCTCCTACACCTCCTTCAGGAAGCCAACAGCCTCAACAGGACTCCCTTCAGCGCCTCCTCCTCTTTCTCCTTCGTCTGCGCCTCGTTTCCCCCGTCGTCTGAGGGACTAATCTGACAGTAAGGAGGTCTAGCAGGGAGCTCAGCTCTACACAGATCACTGAGCTCCTGAGCTTAACGCTGGGGAAGCTCAACAACGCGCGGGTAAAGGCGTTAGAGGATTTCTCGTCTGGAAAATTTGGGATGAGAGTGAGGGGGAGAGAGATGAAGTTAATGGCCGTAGTAACTGGTGTGTTGCCCGCGTCAGGGAGCGCCCTCAGGTAGCCTGGTGCGTTGCCTGCCGCCAGGGAGCGTCTTCAGGTAGTCTGGTGCTTTGCCTGCCTTCAGGAAGAGCCTTCAGGTAGCCTGGTGCGTTGCCTGCCGCAAGAAAGCGTCTTCAGGTAGCCTGGTGCGTTGCCTGCCGCCAGGAAGCGTCTTCAGGTAGCCTGGTGCGTTGCCTGCCGCAAGAAAGCGTCTTCAGGTAGCCTGGTGCGTTGCATGTCACCAGGAAGCGCTTTCAGGTAGCCTGGTGCGTTGCCTGCCCCCAGAAAGCGCCTTCAGGTTATCTGGCGCATTATCCGCCGCAAAGAAGCGCCTTCAGATAGCGTCACACAGTGCGGACAGTAATGTGTTTGTGAGAACGTTGTCGGCTTCTGCCTTTCCATCCCCCCCAACCGGTGTCGTTACACTGTTGTGGACGACCCAAGAATCACCTGAGACGGTCGTCCCGTTCTTCAAGTCATCGCTGACTTACTTCCGGTGACTGCTAACAATATCAGCAAGGAATGTTCGTTGACTGAAGCGGCTATCCTTGCTGTAGTCGACACCGTCCCGTCAAAATCCCGATTTGAGCGCTAAGACTCTTCCCCGTTCGCGCTACCGCCGTCACCCAGCGCTGGTCGCCGCTACCAGCCGCCGCTACCAGCCGCCGCTACCGCCGCTGAAGCCACCTTCCCTCCTGAAGGATGTATTCCCCGGATAAGATGATGAGTTCCAAGCCGCTGGGAGCGCCCATCTCTAGCAACGGACCGGCGGGGTTCACCGGCCGGTACAGTCCCACGTACCGCTCGCCTGACCCCATGAGACGGTGCATGAGCAACGCTCCAGTCTCGGTAAGTCAACATGTTACTGTTTCACCGACTCAAGGCTTTAGTGGAAGTCAGGTGGTACCCTTCACACTGCTGGGGGCCAGGTGGTACCCTTCACACTGCTGGGGGCCAGGTGGTACCCTTCACACTGCTGGGGGCCAGGTGGTACCCTTCACACTGCTGGGGGCCAGGTGGTACCCTTTACACTGCTGGGGGCCAGGTGGTACCCTTCACACTGCTGGGGGCCAGGTGGTACCCTTCACACTGCTGGGGGCCAGGTGGTACCCTTCACACTGCTGGGGGCCAGGTAGTACCCTTCACACTGCTGGGGGCCAGGTAGTACCCTTCACACTGCTGGGGGCCAGGTGGTACCCTTCACACTGCTGGGATCCAGGTGGTATCCTTCACACTGCTGGGGGCCAGGTGGTATCCTTCACACTGCTGGGGGCCAGGTGGTTCCCTTCACACTGTTGGAGGTCAGGTGGTACGCTTCACACTGCTGGGGGCCAGGTGGTATCCTTCACACTGCTGGGGGCCAGGTGGTTCCCTTCACACTGTTGGAGGTCAGGTGGTACGCTTCACACTGCTGGGGGCCAGGTGGTACCCTTCACACTGCTGGGGGTCAGGTGGTATCCTTCACACTGTTGGAGGCCAGGTGGTATCCTTCACACTGCTGGGGGCCAGGTGGTATCCTTCACACTGTTGGACCAGGTGGTATCCTTCACACGCTGGGGGCCAGGTGGTATCCTTCACTGTTGGGCCGGCCTCACGGGCAGTGGTTCCCTTCACACTGTTGGAGTCAGGTGGTACGCTTCACCTGTGAAGACCAGGTGGTACCTTCACACTGTGGGACCAGGGGATTCCGTTACCACTGGTACCTTCCTGTTGAAGACAGCTGGTACCCTTCACTGTTGAGGGCCAGCTTGTCCCTTCACACTGTCGAAGTCCATGGTGGTCCTTCACTTCACTGGTCCCTCATGTGGTGAAACCTTACCCTGACTGGAGGGCCAGGTGGTACCTTAACATGTTGAAGGCAGGTGGTCCCTTCACTGTTGGATCAGTGGTACACCTTCAACTGTGGAGGCCAGGTTATGGTAAACACCATGGGGAGGGTCCATCCCTTTGTATCCTTCAAGTATCGGGAGGGCCAGGATGGTGATGCATATCAACATGTGGAGGCCGAGGATGGTAACTTCCATGTGGGCATTGTGATTCCCTCACACTGTTGGAGGCTGTTCCATTACACTGGGTGAAAAGGTGTCTTCACTGCGGGGTACCATTTGTTGAGTGGTACACCAGTCATGTGGAGGGCCATGATGATGGTGATAAGAGTCAGGGGCCATTGATGATGGTGATAAGAGTCATGGGAGGGCCTTATGGATGGTGTATAAGAGTCATGGGAGGGCCATTGATGACTGGTGATAAATTCAATGGAGGGCCATTGATGATGGTGATAAGAGTCATGGAGGGCCATTGATGATGTGATAAGAGTCAATGGAGGGCCATTGATGATGGTGATAAGAGTCATGGAGGGCCATTGATGATGGTGATAAGATCATGGGAGGGCATTGATGATGGTGAAACAGTCCATGGGAGGCATTGATGATGGTGATAAGAGTCATGGGAGGGCCATTGTATGATGGTGATAAGAGTCATGGGAGGCCATTGATGATGGTGATAAGATCATGGGAGGGCCATTGATGATGGTGATAAGAGTCATGGGAGGGCCATTGATGATGGTGATAAGAGTCATGGGAGGGCCATTGATGATGGTGATAAGAGTCATGGGAGGGCCATTGATGATGGTGATAAGAGTCATGGAGGGCCATTGATGATGGTGATAAGAGTCATGGGAGGGACCATTGATGATGGTGATAAGAGTCATGGGAGGGCCATTGATGATGGTGATAAGAGTCATGGAGGGCCATTGATGATGGTGATAAGAGTCATGGAGGGCCATTGATGATGGTGATAAGAGTCATGGGAGGGCCATTGATGATGGTGATAAGAGTCATGGGAGGGCCATTGATGATGGTGATAAGAGTCATGGGAGGGCCATTGATGATGGTGATAAGAGTCATGGGAGGGCCATTGATGATGGTGATAAGAGTCATGGGAGGGCCATTGATGATGGTGATAAGAGTCATGGGAGGACCATTGATGATGGTGATAAGAGTCATGGGAGGGCCATTGATGATGGTGATAAGAGTCATGGGAAGGCCATTGATGATGGTGATAAGAGTCATGGAGGGCCATTGATGATGGTGATAAGAGTCATGGGAGGCCATTGATGATGGTGATAAGAGTCATGGGAGGGCCATTGATGATGGTGATAAGAGTCATGGGAGGGCCATTGATGATGGTGATAAGAGTCATGGGAGGGCCATTGATGATGGTGATAAGAGTCATGGAGGGCCATTGATGATGGTGATAAGAGTCATGGGAGGGCCATTGATGATGGTGATAAGAGTCATAGGAGGGCCATTGATGATGGTGATAAGAGTCATGGGAGGGCCATTGATGATGGTGATAAGAGTCATGGGAGGGCCATTGATGATGGTGATAAGAGTCATGGGAGGGCCATTGATGATGGTGATAAGAGTCATGGGAGGGCCATTGATGATGGTGATAAGCATCATGGGAGGGCCTTGATGAGTGTAAGAGTCTGGGAGGGCATTGATGTGGTGATAAGAGTCATGGGAGGCCAAATTGTTGATGGTGATAGAGTCATGGGATGGGCATTGCCTGATGGTGATGAAGGAGGCCAGTTGCATTGACTGGCATGTGCCATGATTGGTCACATCCTACCCCCTTGGTACTCCATCCTACCTCCCCATCCTACCCCCCGATGTTGCCTATCACCCCTGCATTTGGTCCTCCATCCTACTCCCCACACTACTCGCCATCCATCCGCTCTCACCCCATCTTACTCTCCATCCCCACTACTCCCATAGTCCCACCTCGTACCTGCGTGAAATACATCATTTAGGAGCATACCAATAGTCGCATAGTAGACCCTGACTTACCTCCTATCTCTACTCCCTAGTCAGAGCCTACCCCATGGACTACCTCCCCATCCCTACATCGGGTAAGCCAATACCCTGTCATCTAACCTCCTATTATAACATCCCCATCGCTACCTCCCCATACACCTGACTTAACAATACTACCAATACCCATCACTAACGTCCAAATCTAAGACCATACCTAATATTATCTACCTGCCATCCCTAACGTACCATGTCTACCATGATCATCCTTAAGTCCATCCGAAGTACAAATGACCTAACCTACGTCAAACATGTAGCCATAGCTACTATAAGCATCATACCAATCCAACTAAGATTGAAGGTAAGTCCTACGAGATGAGATCCGAATGACCGTCCGATCACTAAAAGCCATGCTATCTTACGTCCTATGAATCATCACCTATCCCGACCTAATATACTCCTTACTCATCGCTACTACCATTCCAGAGTACATCCGTCAACACTCGATCCTAACTACTCATACGCCCTACACTACCAGCCACTATCCTGCACCATCCCAACCTGACGTACCTTCCTATCGTACACTCCATCCCTCCCTTTCCCTCCCGCTATTACTCTATCTAACCTCCCCATCCTACTCCCTATCTCTACCTCCCCATGCTGTACCCTCCTATCTTCTACTGCTCACCATTGCTATACCCCCATCCCTACCTCCATTCCCGATCCATAACATCCCACTACTCCAGCCTCCACATTACTCCCTAACCGTCGGTCGAATTTGCTCTACTCCAGCCCTCCCTATACACTAGCTGGAAAGCTAAACTCATCCTACTCCGTACTCCCCATCCACCTATCTTACTCCATCCACCTAGCGCCTACTTCACTCCCATTACCCCATCCACCTCCCATCACTCCATTCTACCTATCCCAATCCATCAGTACTTACCTCCACTAACTTCTACCTCCCCATCCCTCCCCATCCTACCCATCACTACCCCCATCCCACCTCCCATATCTACCCCACTCCCTCCCTCCCTATTCTACCTCCCAATTCCTACCTCACATCATACCCCATCCTACCTCCCACCACTCCTATCACTATCCATCCCTACCTCCCTATCTCTATCCCATCCTACTCCCAACCTACCCCCCATTCTCGCTACCACTCCCTATCTCGACCTCCCCATCTACCACCATCCCTACCTCATCTCTACTCCCATCCCTACCTCCTTATCCTACCTCCCATCCTACCTCCCTATCTCTACCTCCCCATTTCTGCCTCCCATCCCTACCTTCCCATCCCTACCTCCCCATCCCACCTCCCTATCTCTACCTCCCATCCCTACTCCCTATCTCTACCTCCAATTTCTACCTCCCCATCCGTACCTTCCCATCTTTACTCCCCATCCCACCTCCCTATCTCTCCCTCCCCATCCCTACCTCCCTATCTCTACCTCCCCATCCCTACCTCCTATCTCTACCTCCCCATTTCTACCTCCCCATCCCACTCCTATCTCTCCTCCCCATTCTACCTCCCATCCCACCCCCCTATCTCTACCTCCCCATCCCCTACCTCCCATCCCTACCTCCCCATCCCACCTCCCTATCTCTACCTCCCCATTCCCTACCTCCCCATCACCTACCTCCCCATCCACTCCCTATCTCTACCTCCCCATCACCTCCCTACCTCCCCATCCTCACCTATCCTACCTCCCCATCCCTACCTCCCCATCCCTACCCCCCCCATCCCCCTCCACCTACCCCATCCCACCTCCCTATCTCTACCTCCCCATCCCTACCTCCCCATCCCTACCTCCCCATCCCTACCTCCCCATCCCTACCTCCCCATCAACCCACCTCCCTATCTCTACCTCCCCCATCCCTACCTCCCCATCCTACCTCCCCCCCCCATTCCCCTACCTCCTCCTCCCATCCCTACCTCCCCATCAACTCAAAAACCTCATTACTCTCCATCTTTTTTTCCTTCGGGGCCCTAAGTCGCCCTTACGGATTTAGCGCATTTGTCTGTCTGTC